GGATCGCACGGCTGATGTTGCCTCCAGAACTCAGCATTTGTCGAGCTCTGGTTTCAGCAGGATACGTGTCGAAGCTACGGATGGCTCTTGGAATAGCAGCCGGATCCTCGCTCTCAAGCCCCCCTGAAAGATCACTTATAGGATCTGCTGCCCCAGAAGTAAATCTCACTTGACTGGTGAAAATCGGATTCGAAACCAAGAGTCTGCTCTGCAGGTTGGGGATCTCCGCCTGTGAGCCCCAGGGGACCTAGACGCACCTAAGCAGTGGGCGAAGGCATCACGAGGAATCCCTTGATCGAATAAAGCTTTAATCGAATATAAGTGACGTTCGGTTGCTGTCTCGGCAGCCCACTCGACAGCATAAGAGGGACCAGCAGAGATGACGGGAGTATACAGATTAGAAGTGGCAACAAGCGCGACGACTACTGTTATTTCTGCTCCAGGCTTGCTCTTGACTCCATCCTTGACTTTAGCTTTCGGCTTCGGCGCAGCAGCTTTGAGACTGTATTTTTGGTTATCCCCATGAATGCACCTAGATGACACCTAGAAGAAAATTCAAGGAGTCCTCACTTTCTCAGCATCAATCATCGCCTTTGCCTGAGCTTTGACCTTTGTCTTTAGTTTCGCAGTATTATTGGGTGCTGGCGCACCCGGGGCAATCGGAGGAGGAGGAGGAGGAAGATAGGCCTTAGGAGGTGAAACTTTAGAAGGCGCAGCAGGAGGTATTATCTTTGCTTTCCAATTCCTTCCATCAACAGCAGGGCCAGCCTTTGTCCAGGGAGCAGGGATAGCTAACTGCAGACCTTCAATATAGATTGTTCATTGGAATCATCACGATCCTGAATAATGGAATCTTGAATCTTGTCCCTCAGGCAAGATCACTCCCTCTTATACGAAGAAGCTCCTGACTCCTAATGTCCCCAATAATATGCTCAAGCTTGCGAATATGCTTCGCACGATAGAAGAGCCATTCTCCGTCTCCGGAGAGGCGATCATCAGGTCGCCGCCCGACGGGGATTATACTGAGAGTAAAACGAATAGGATATATGAAGTCCCTCAGATCTTTTACGGAACTTCCGCCAAATTCGATCTGAAATAAAACAGATGCGGGCAGAATCGAATCTCTCGCCCGATCAAAATCGAAAAATTTCGCGATAATAGCGAGCATCACTCGACCCTTGGGCGATTGATATTGGTCGCATCACTCAATATACGCAGTAATATCTTGCTCGAGTTCAGAGGACTATTTCAATTCACCTCTCGAAGATACTTTCTCGGCTATCCAGGTGTCAAATCGAGAGAGGAATTCCGAATCCTTCAAAGCAGTCCTTTCAGTATCAAAATCCCTAGAAATCCATGCTAGCACAAGGCCTTGACAAGAGGTATCAAGCTTGGATAACTGAATCTTGAATCCGTTCTTCTATGGTCGGAAACTTGTCGCGTCCGAGGGGACAGGCTCGAGCTTGAGATGCAAGAGAGCCCTCTAATCACCAATATCTTTTTCTCGAAATTCTTTGGCAATTTCTTCTTCTTCAATTTCATCGTCATCATCATTATGAGTCTCAATAGCACCCGCAGCATTTTGACCGACCTGTTGAATCCACTGCTGAATTACCTCAATCAGCTGGTCCAGGCGAGGATCTGATACCGGCGAACTTGGCTGGGAAAGAATAAGATATGAAGATATGAGAGGAAGAATAAAGGTGCCTGAGGACAAGAGATGCTCAGATGGAGGATCGGAAGTTTCAATATGAGTCCAAGACGTATCACTAACACCAGACCCGGTGCCAACAGGAGGAGCCTATCGATTTGGGAGGTTTGGGAGGGCACCCAGAATTCGAGGCGCATGGAGCAGCCGAACGAAACCTCTGAATCTCACGCTCCTTGATTTGACACTTTACCCGGGCTTGGTTGAGCTGAAAAATCAACGTACTGTGATACTCCTGAAGAGCAGCATTGAGCTCTTGGAAATTCATCCGTTACGTAACTAGCTCAGCCTCTAACTTGCTCAAGTCAGTGACGCTCAACGAATTGCTCGTACTCAAATAATTCCCCCCACCTGACTTCCGAAAATCTATATTGCTCGCGAAGCTGATCGACCGCAGACCCTGCCTCGTTTAGAACGTCCTTGTTTTGGCCTTGCACCTCATTCATAGAAGCTTGGTGGGCGGCTACTCGATTGGTAGCTTCACCAGCAGCGAATTGCTGAGCGGCAAGAATTTGTTGAGGTGTTGCTCCTATACGTAGCATTGGGTTATGGACAACCGTGGGAGCGTTAGGATCATAGATTGGGACGTTGCTGGGTGGGTAAGGAGCGGAGGGTTTCCGAGGAGTTCGGGCTCGAATTCTCCTATAGGTAGGAGGGGGGAGTTCTCGCTCCGCCAAAGCCGAACTACTGTCCATTTGAAGCACGGAAAGAATCCCTCATGCCTGCAAGCGCGGCCGCTCAGGCACTGGAAATATCGAACAGGGAGCTCTGATCAATTGGGGTTAATTGAGATTGGGGCATAACTATAAAGATGCAAAATGCAAGAATATAGCGACCAATAATGCAAAGTGTTGATCAGGCCATAAAGAAGCATCCGGATAATGAGGCAATGCGCCGATCAATCCACGAGATGAAAGATCTTAAAATCTGAAAGTTTTGAATTCTAAAGAAATTATACTTTGAGTCGAGGACGGGACGGTGGCGCGAGGTAGCTTTGCTCCTCGAATCCATTTCAGATCAGCAAATTATTTCATCCCTCAAGCCAGCTCAGGACGACCGACTCAGCTTCGAAAAGCGATACGAAAGATCTTCCAATCTCATGAATCTCGTATTTCGGAAGCTGACGTCGAATTAATGGCACGATTCCATTCGGTGCAAATAGAGATATTATTGTCAATAATAATGAGAGGAGACTAATAAAAGAAATTCATCTAGAAATATCTAATTTGCCCAAACGACCAATCCTCCAATATTAATTAAGTCCGCCTAATACTTCCCCAGATTGAATAAATATATTATATAGCGTATCTAAAGACCAATCCTCGATATTCCGAGAGCTTTCAAGAATAAATCATAATCAATAAATAAACCTCCTCTATAGTCTGATAAATACGCCTGAGAAGTCCCTAGATATCCGATAGCAAGTCCGATATTTCGTTCGGATAAAGAATCTTTTTTTATTGTTTATATTGACCAATATGAAGAATTTAATAATACCTATCAATAATCTTATAGAAATCGAAAATAATTAGTTGACTACCACTCTCGTGCCGTTTCAATTGCTCATTCGTCCGTTTGAGTACGTATGGCCGTGAAAGTGAACAGAAAACTAGAATTGAAAAGTCTCATATTCAGGTGTCAAGAAATACATACTTTCCTACAGTTCCATGGTTTGAAATTATGGCTTCCATTTCATTTCAGAATATGCTACAATGAACCTGAAATTTCAATGCGTACAATAATATTTATTCGAAATAGAAACAACTTTCCGAAATAGCCGGCTCAGGATCTATGATGCCTCACACAAGCAGACAAGCAAGCGGTTTCTTCTCTGCTGCTCGAGCATTCTCCGGAATGATGCTCCGAAGTTAATTTCAGCATGACGGGTGCATTTGCCAGCACTTAGGTGGAACAGTGCCGGGTCAAAACACTTCAGCTATGAGGTCTTGGCTTTGGTGCACTGCAGCCCAACATGCAACCTGTGCAAGCTGAATGCAGCCTTCTTTGTGGCCGGGCTTGACTGGTAATCAATTTGGGCCTCTATCACAGATTGGAACTGCAGTCGGTCTTGCATGGACAGCTCATGCCTCACGGCCTCATGGTACGGGGCACCCAGTGGCTGCTGCACGCAAGTCAAGGGGGGCAGGACGCACTTTAGCGCACCATGCCCATTCCAGGTTCGTGCAGCACCCCTGGCTTTCGAAGGTCAAACTGTGAGCCGCACCGCAAATCCAATCTACACACAAAGGCCAGGTAGGCTCTGAGCTTCGAACGCAACTATGCAGCTCACATAGATATGGCAGGGGTGGCCGTGGCAGGCGAAACTAATCGAGGCGCCTTGGTCTTACCGGCTTCACCACTCTTCTTCTCACGCCGGCGCTTTCAGAATCAAGCTTCGCACATGCTATGTCAATGGGACACCCTGATCGATAAGGTCAGCACCACAGCTTGCTGCGGCAGCCGACATGCGGCGAATTGAGCCTTACTGTATGGACAATGACGGGGGCTGGCATCGTATCGAAAGAAACGAAAGACCACACCATTGAGTAGCTGCACCTCCGGGCGGAGGAAAACAAGTAGCGGGAATGAAGGTGAAAGGGACATGCCGGCGCTGGTGTGTCATCTACAGGAGGAGAGCCCAGGATCGAGTGAGGCTTGAGGAATCTGAAACCTCTGACTTCTGGTGTTCTGCTTGCCCGCAGCATCAGGGCAGTTTAGAAATGGATGAAGCAAGCCAGTCGACCGTATTTACAATTCCGACGAAACACATCATCAACCTCATGAGCCTTAACAACTGTCTGCGGTGGTGGCATATTTGAGGCCGTGTTTTGCATATGCGGGAGACGACTCTGGCTCCCAAGCAGCTCTGGCCCAATAGCGCTCCCATCCTGGAGTCTAGGGGCTGCATCACATGATCAGGATAGGATTCACGCAGGCTTTACAGGTGGGCGCAGTTATCGCCGCGTGTGTGGCGGTGGTGCCTTCAAGGCTCTTCGAATTCCGAATTATGACGGTGTAGCTTGAGGACATGTGAGTTTCTGTGAGGTTGCAACAGCGCCGTCGAGCAGCAATAAAGTAGTTTCGCAGTATAGCGGTCGAGATCATCGACACGCATTCAAACAACAGGAGCAAGTGGTGGAACGAACGGAAAAAAACGAACGATGGCAACAAGGACATCTGCGGCACCATCGAGTTTTGCGTTTGACAGCTCGGGCTGCTGATAAGACTCCGAGTCTGCAATGCATTCGCTGGTCAACCTCTTAAATTGTCTTACATTCTATCCATCATGGTGTCAGGCAGCCACTGGAGCTGACGCTGCCCCAGGAAGTGAAGCTACCTGAGAGTGGGGGAGCGTCGCGTTGTCATTGCTTTCTGCCAGGCGCATCCGCCTGAGGGGAGGCCGGCCGCATTGCCGTCAGCACCTACGCCAAGCACGCATCCGCATTCTGTAAGCAATCGTGTGTATCCCAAGGCCCGGCCTGGGGAGGCGAAAGGGCCCGCTGCTGCGACGCCTTCGATCACAGAATGCGGCAGTGCAGAGGCAGTGCGAGCGGAGCCGAGCGGAGGCGGACGCTGCGTCCGGGCCCGTCCTGTATTGGAGACACAGCCCGCGGAGCAGAAACGACCTGCAAAGAGAAGTTGAACCGCCCACTGACTGCTGACACTCCCTCGCTCTGTCCATGCTTGGGCACCCGGTACGGGGAGCTGCAGCGGGCCGGTATAGCCTGAAAAGAGGGGAGTCAGGGCAACATGACTTTCTGGATGAACGGGCGGTTGGTGGTCCTGTAGTGGTGCGTGCAGCTCTGGCTCAGGGAATGTTTCTCCGAGACGTGGCAGCATTGCAGAGCGGTTCGAGATGTGGTGCCTGGGAACCTTGGGTTTTGGGAAAAGCTTGGATCTCCACATTGGTTTCCTTCAGTGGAATCATGGGCCAAAGTCACAACCGTAAAGCTCTAGAATTCAATGTGAACTAGGATCCGTGTCTGGTGCTCGTGCCGGGTGGGTTTGTGACATGCTTTGGTTATGGCTAGGCATTGAGGCCAGGCGTCTGTTGCTATATCTGTCTGTCGAGAGATGCGTGGAAATCTTGCCATAGATCACCGTAAGATCCTGAAGCATCGAAACGTCAATCTCCAAAAGTAAATAATTCAGGTCCTGCTACTGCAGCCACCCTGAGCCTGAAAATGCTCATAAACCCGCTGGCGCGCACCTGCTGGAGGTTTGCAGGCGGCGGCCATGCGAATGCCGCAGAGCCTGGCCTCTGCAAGAGTGACAAGAAGTAACACAGAGGGAGCCGTCGTCAGAGTCATGACAATAGGACTTTAAGAAGCCAACATAAATAAACTTATCATGGTGCACTAAGTTGCTTTATTGGTTCGAATGCTTGCTGTTGCTATCTTTTGGCGATCTGCCCTAGCTAGCTTTGTTCTCGATTTCGTGACATCCCTCGTGCGGCTGGACTCCTCGGTTCTCACGGTCATGAACAATTGTCAGTAGTCCAAGTTCAGTTGTCTGGCAGTGGACATTGGAGCATTAGGATTCCGTTTCCTGCTGTTTCCCGATGGGCAGCTCAGAGCCGTGCGTGCCGAAAGGGCTTGTGGAGCGCGGCGAGCCGGGCGGCGACATGCCTCTTGCCAGTTCATTCACTGGGGATCCCACAAGTCGGCACGCAGAGAAACTGTGCGGGCCTAGGCGTTCAGTCTGCGTCGACATCCTTCAAACGGGACACAGCCACACTCCAGAATCCGATTCCAAAGCTTCATCGAGTCGCCTCTTACAGGATAGCCCTACAGTGCCACATGCAGAACCTCTTTCCAGAACATTGAACTCTATAGTGGCTGGACTTAATGTCGTGCAGCGTCTGAGGTCCTCTGCGCCGGACGCAGAGACTGCGCAGCGGAGGAGGGCGTACCGTAGCCGCCGTAGCCTGCCACCAAGGCGAATTGCGCGTGTCTCTAATGCTGAAGTCCGTGCTGTACCGATCATGTCACTGCAGACGCCCATGCGTCAAGACTCGAACGTGCCCCAAGATGAATCATAATTACAGTGCGAATGCATTGGAAATGTCCAATGTTGCGCTCGCTCACTACTCTTCACTTCTCCGGCCTGCTGCGGATGATGGCGCGCCCTGCATCTGAAAAGCATGCTAGTCACTTGCCCATCGTCTGCTTGTTCAGGGATTTCAGGTTGACTTTACCGAAGATGCAGGTGGCAACGAGTGAGCTCACAACGGCATACCGAATCTACTTCGCAGCTACAGCTTCAATTGCTGCACTGCAAACATGCTTAATCCTGACTCCCTTACTCCACCCCGGTGGCCATCAGGCGGAACCGTACACTAGGTACGCCCATGCGAGTAGTCATGCATTAGTGGATTGGCGGCAACTTTCTTCATGTTAAGAAGAGGTTCGTAGAAGCTCCTCAGAATATTTTGCGGAAAAATCTGTGCTCGCGGCTCCAGTGGATCGGCGCGGAGGACTCCTCGAGTCTTCGAAGCACCGCGAGCAGTTGCTTCACCACGACGAAGTCTCGTTCCGACAGTCTTTGCTCGGCTGGCAGGGCTCCAGATTTAAGATGATTTAAGCTCAAGCCCAAGATCTATGGATCTCCTCGCATCACCATTCGCTCTCCGAGACTGCGGGCTTGGCGAGCCTTGGACCGGGATTTTGGGCAGGATGGCTTGTGGAAGTGCTTCCACTTGTGAAGCTTCGGCATCCAACTTTACTTACGGTACTTGAGCAGCTGAACCGCATCCGTGCAGGGAAAACCAACTTGCAGCGGCTAACGTTCTTTGCTAGTCTTGTCTTGCCTTCTCCACTTGAGGGCGGGCTCTCAAACCCAACAATGGGGTTTTGTATCATGCCTCGCACGTGTTCATACGAGTTCAGCTCTTCTACCACACTCCGCATTTTGTTAGTGCTGCCCGTATGGTACGTTATGCTTGATGCTCTGACAGGTGTTGGCCTCAGTTACAGAGGTCCCAGACAGAGGCCGCCCAAGTCTCGGACGGCTGTCACCACGCCCGGACTTAAAGGTGAGATCGACAAGCTGCTTCGGACCTGCTTTCGCCGCACTCTCTTTGAAGGACATGAAGCCCTGAAGCACATTCCTTCTCTCTCCTCGACCTTGCAAGCCTTGGCAATGTGGCCGTCTCGCAGTGTCGAAATACGAGACTGTCGCACTGCCAAGACGTACCGCTGACGAGCTGCACCGCCTTGCTCAATCTACAACCACATCAGCCTAGCGCCTGACATGGCAGACCTCTCCCAACGCGAGCTTGCTGGATGCAAGATCCTGCAATAATCGCCGACCGAACACTTTCCTCTTATGACTTATGACTGCTGGATACTCTTTAACCTCGCCATGCGGCTTGGCTTCTGGTTGCAACCCGCTTGGAATGGAGTCTTGCTCGCGGCTGGCAAAGTGCATGAATGGAAAGCTGATGTCGTGCTGCTGAGTGCTGAGATCTTCGTAACTTATGATCTATTCCATTTGGGACGTGGTCCTTCTGCTGATTCGGGATGTGTTCTGTCGTTTGTTCTTATCATTCCTCCAGCAGCCTCAATTCATCGCATGCCCCGGGCTGTTAAGCTACTGCGTGGGGCATTGCAACGTGCTAGCTCTCAGAACCTGACAGGTGGGACTTGCACTGCTTCATCTCTTCCCTCGGCCCGAACCCTGGGAGCGCCTGTGTAGACGCTCAGCGGCAGGCTAAAGAGAAACTGTGGCTCTGGTGGCTTGAGCCTGGCAGGTACTGGGGCCCAGGTCAAGCACTTTCGCGTCCGAGTTACTATCATGGTACATCTCAGGATTCTGGTAGGGGCTTGTTCAACGACCTTTGGTGCTTGCAAATCCTTCAAGGATCATTCATCGCATTTTTCGGCCTGCCTGTACTCTGGCACGGACGTGCACGTCCGCAAGGCAGCTGCGCTGTGGGCCGACGCGTAGCTCCTGTACTTGTCCGGTCTCAGACGAAACTGGAAAAGGCCTGGTCCGGGGTCCTCATCGAGGAAGCTGGTGAAGTGGGCCGCGACTGGCGCTGGCGCATTCGAGCAGGCCGCGGCCTGGAAACGCAAGGGAGGAGCCTTAATAAGTAAGCACACTTGATATGTTGCAATGCGCGCTGATGTCAGCAGCTTGTGAGAGCTTTACCATGCCTTTCTGAGGTGGTCTGGCATGCCATGGACTTCCGCTGTGTCACGAGAATCGATGCCCAAGTTCGGGATCCCTCCCTGGAATTGACGTTTCTTTGCAGCCGGCATCATGAATTCATACGAAGCCCTTGTGACAAGTCGACTTACGGCGCCACTTTTCTATACTTTTCTCAATGCCCGACATTGCCCGACTCTGGCTCCTCTCAGGCTGCGGACCAAGGCACTCGGACTCGGGCGCCTCTGCCGAGGGCCTAGCCCGCCTGCTCAGCCAGGCATGCTGACTTGAAAAAGAAACGCGCGCAGCCGAACATGAATCCGCCCTCCTAGCAAATTTCTGCAAGCGCCCGGCACGTGTGGGATGGCCTCTGGATAGGGGACTTTGTGCCGACTTTCGGCCTCAGGAACAGAACACCCAGCGCAAAGGCAAGCACGGAACATCTCCGTATAGCAGAAAGCAGTGTGGCCTCGGCCGCTTGTCAGCCGTGCCCGCTGCACGCTGCTGGGGCACCTAGCAGAGTCTGGCGGCATGCTTCTCTTCACAACCCCTTGGTGCACGTGGCCATCCAGCAATGGATCAGCCTTTACATCTTCTTGGGCGATCTCGTTGCGGAGGCGGGCCAAACGAGCCCGCACCTGGGCATCAAACAGTGGTGGAGATACCACGTCGCAGCCTGCACTTGACCCGAAACTGGATCTTACAATGCGGCTGGCTACCTAGGTTGTACCGGCCTTGGATGTTGAACTAAGTTAAGCCCAACATCCAACCTTATGGGGATCCAAGACACATCCTTGGCGGCATCTGCGACCACAGCCTCGTGGGCGGAGGCGGCCTGCGACCGAGAAGCAGCCAGAACCTCTACTCTTACGGCTGGTTGCCCAATTTAGCGTGGTCCATACCCACATCAGCGCCTGAACCGGAGGTTGCCAGCTTATGAGGCGTTGCTGTTGCTGCAGGGTGTCTTGCACCTGCGTCGGTCAAACTGGAAGTCGGAGAAGCAGCGAGGCCAATGCAAGAGCAGCCCAGGCCTTCACAGGTTGCGCCTGCACCGCTGGAGCCGCTCCCTGCCAGCGGAAAAACCCTACTTTTCATGTGGCTGTTCTATACATGGCTACACCGAAGCATGGATGAGACAAGTTGCAGTCAGTACACACCCCTTGAGAAGGGGTGGCGTGGTGAAGTCTTGGGATTGTTATGGCCAAGCGTGGATTCCCTCTGGTGCAGTCCGACCTGGTGCATGAGACGCAACCGCAGCTCGGCAGCTTCGGCACGGTTCTTCGCCACCTTTACTGAGTCGTATCTATGTCTCGCTTGCGCCTACTGTGAAGATCGTCCAAATGCTGAATCATTTGGGGAGGAGATTCGTTGTGCAAAATCTGCAGAGCAAGATTGCATGAGAGGAAAGCCAAGTGCACTTAATTTCACAAACCAGCCAGCCCATGATTCAGAGTCAACAAATCCTACATCTTAGCAGCCTTCGTTTCACAGACCCACCCACAACACAGAGGCAATGTCAAGCAATCGCACAAATTCTGGCCTTAGGCCTGGTCGGCTATAGGAGAGATGTACATAACGTCATCTAACACTACTGAAATGTGACATGTGTGATTACTTCATGGCTACTCTAATCTGTAAGACTGCTCACAGGCCACTCATCATGTCATGTGACTGCTCCATGACCCCTCCTTCGAGAAGGTGGACATCCAGACATCGGAGACATTGCACAGCCATGCAGCTACGGAGCGTTGATGAGTTCGACAGCTAAGCGACTCAGCTTTTGCTAGAATTCTCGGCTCCTGGTGTGCTGGCTAATTAGTTGGCCAGCAGCTAGCACCAGGGCCACCAGGGATTTCCTGCGACGAGCCTTACCGGCGTGTTGCATGGCCCGTACATTCCTCCCGCAGCTCCTCTGAATCTCGTCTCCTTTAGCCCGCTATGTTTTCAACTATGCTCCACGACGCCAAGCCGGAACCCGTGCACAATACCTCCCCTGCGTGGGTATTGGGGAGCCCCCTACATGTGCGAGAGGTTGCTTGGGAAGGTCTAGCTCAAGTATGGTGACTGAGCGTCACAGCACTGGCAGTCAGAGCCTCGGTGAGAAGCGAGGACAGCTCTCCACCGGCAGCAGGCATTGCGGTCGTCTGCGAGGAGGGGCGGAAGTGAATGCAAAGTATGAAGTAAATCATCCGGAAGATGTTGACAGATGGTTCATCCGGAAAGCACTGAAGGGGCGAAAGGCCTGTATGATCGGAGCTCCAGGACTCCATCGGCTCAATGTACCTCGAGGTCCGAGTCTGTAGAGAGAGAGCTCAAGGCGGACACAGGTACCGACCTGCAGTCATTGGCAGGCTCATGGTTGCCATCCGTGTGCCATCCGGCCGATGGAGACTCTGCTTTGCTACGGAGCTGCCGATGTAAGCTGCCGCGATAAGGGGAAGTTCGCAAGCTTCTATTGCTGGGCAGCGTTCTGCAGCACAGTGGGGCTAGGGAGGGCTACCATCTGTGCAAGTGCTGAGCTGCTGCTTTTGCTCAGAGGGCTACAGGATGTCAAAGATCCACACAGCTGCGTGCGCAAACATCGGCCACTGTGGATGCACTTCCGTACTCTCCTGCTCGTGGTGCTGCTAGCACCTAGCATCTGGCCACATGCAAATTCGATTATTCTCTTCCATGGGGCCGACAGCTAGCTGCACGTTTGAGCTGCATCCGCTTGACAGCGTCAGGCACCGCCTACTGCGTTGCAGAGCGAAAGGTCCTTTGCAGTACCTGGAATGTGCCCTGATATGCTCAGCGGATGCGCACTCGTGAATGTCGAGCTAGAGCTGTTGGTATTCCAACAGAGGTGTACGTAATGAGGCAACAGGGTAGCTCGTCGCTTAAAAAAGTTGCTGTAGAAGTACGGCTGCAAAACCTTTCTTTATGATAGCGGATCTGCAGCGTCGAGCTGCTCTGCTGCATCCACACATTAGCTTTGCTCAGCTTGCCGAGGGTATGTCACTAGGAGCTCACCGGGCAGTGGGGTCCCAGACAGAAAAGTCAGAAGCTAGGCCAAATTCGGGCCATGAGCAGCTTGTACTGTGGCTCTGTGCCACCAAAGCAACGTCGTGCTCCTGCCAATGTCGTGTCACAGTCTACTCTATAGGGCTTTTGTGCAGTCTCAAGGCAGGGCACTTTTTATGCATAACAGAACCCTGTGACAAAACACTACTGCATGAATGGAGTTTCTAGGTCAGTAATAACTCAAGCACGTGTGAACGAAAGGCTCGTCTACAGTACCATGCTGTACTCAGAAAGCGCTCGTGAATACCCCAAGTTCAAGCTTCTGGATTCCTGGTACCTACCGAAGGTGAAACACTGGGCTTCTCAGTTCTTCGTGACTGCCAACAAACACCTGCGAAAATCAGTACGCTTGCTGTGAGATTCCGTATTCGCAAAAGTCACGTGCAAGGACCTGCCTCGTCATCCTCACTTCTCGACGATGAGGTGCTTGTTCCTAGGTCCACAGCTACCAGAAAGTCGCGCAAAGATGCGAAGTTTCGCCGTGCGCCGGGCTGCTCGGCCAGGCCGAGGGCCCGCTCCAGCTCCTGACTCAATCCATTCATGCCGACATGCACAGAACTTTCAATCAGAGTACGATACCGGTCGAGATGCTGGCATGTCGCAGATTGTCGCTCTCTCAGAAAAACAGGCATCTACACGCCGTGGCACCAAACACACAGGAAGAACAATCCAGGAATCCAGTATGCATCTTAAAGACCCGAAGTGGTGAGCCGATAATGAAAAGCACCCTGAACTTTTGCAATGCAGGGATCTGCCAAGGTCTGCTCGACCATAGCCACCTTGGCCTGCGATGGCGATTTCAAAAACACGTTTACACAGCTGTATCGAAGCAGAGTGGACACAGCCATCATCAGGAACGCGTGCGCGTATCAGCCTTGAGAACCCGCGACTTGTCATACTGAGTGTGTTTTCGGGCACTCGCCGTCTCGCTTGCACTTCTATTCTTGCCATGGAACTTCTCTTCTGTCCAACATCGGGGAGGGCCCCGGAGAGCCTCCGAGGGACCAGTTCGTCCGCCTGGACTCCGCGGGGTGGTCCGCGCAGTCAGGACCTGAGAGTCTCTCATACTCAGCCTCCGACAACGGCACAGAGACAGAGATATGAGGTATTCATCCGAGCACACCACGATTGGAGCGTCTGCCTGCGTTCTCACCTGAGGGGCAATCTTTCGCAGGGTTTTTCCCCGAGAAGCTCATCGGTTCACAACCAAGACCAACGTGCGAAATGAGGTTACCGCAGGCGGGGCCTTCTTAACTTGACCCTCGAAACTGACCATGCAAGAACATGGCTCGCCTCCCCCGGTGCAGTGCGAAATCGCCTTGTCAGGGGGGAGCTCAGAGACAGGAAGGCTCTGCGATGCTCTGCGAGATTCATTACACATGTGCCTTGGCATGGTTGGTGGCGGTGAGTCTCGGAGAGCCGGCGTTGTGGTAGTGGTCACTGCCGCAGGTCCTCTCCAGTTTGACTCGCAGCAGCGTTCTTCAAATTTGAGTGGATTCGCTGAATGATGCGTCCCATCTCTGCACGTCGAACCTCTCTGCGTTCTGTCTACCCCTGGCTTCTCACGTCATACATACTTCTGTTGCAAAAAGACGCGCATTTCATTCCGTCGGTCCTTCTGCAAGGCGAAGATCTCTCTTCGCTGTATCGACCACCTCACGCAGGATCTTGAGGATGAGCTCAAGCCCTTTGAACTTTGGTGTCGGTTCGGATATTCTCCCCGCGCGTCCCACCCTTTGGTTTCATTGCCGGCTTCTTTACGCTTGCCCAGCTGATGCAAATTGACGGCTCGGTCCGAAGGACTGGGTACAATGTACGCTTGTTGGGACTACGTAGTAGGTTTCTGTCTGCCTGTCTGTGCTGTCCTTCAAAACCCTTCGGCACTTTCGACAGGCCTTGGCACGCTTCGGATGCAGCTTGGCACGGAGCTCTGCGTTCTCCTCGACAAGGGCCTGGAAGAGCTGATGACTCGGAGGCCCACGATCCGACTTTGCATTGCACCTCCAAGCGGTTCAGCTGCTCTTGCTGCCGTTGTATGTGCCTGTGTTGGAGTGCTTCAAGAGATGAGAACAAATCCGCCGAGGCCAAAGGCCTCTGGCGTCTTGATGGTTAATACTAACCAACCCTCTACCTAATCCTTCTCCCTGCAGCCCAAATGCAAACTTCCACCCGTTTTTAGCGACTGTTTTCGACCCCCTTGCCCGGCTTCCGTCCTTTTTTGCTGCCGAATTTGCCTCCCCCCCTCCTGCCCCCCCCTTTCGGCCCCTCCTCCTGCCCCCCTCCCTGCGCCCTGCCCCCGCCTCCCCGCCTGCCCCCCCTGCCTGCCCCCCGCCCCCCCCCCCTTGAGATGTAACCTGGACGTGTATCCCCTCGCTAGGCGTACAGGAACACAGGCACTCAGGTGTCTCTTTTGCTACAGGCGCACAGCTGTAGTCCACTGCACTAGAACCTTGAGCAACAGGCATGGATACATGCAAGTGATACGTGAAACAGACAGGCACCTGGATGTGTAACATTCAGTGTTTCAACCAGGCACAAATTTAAAACACGTAGAGCTGCATGGCCGTGGAGTCGGCATTCAACTAGCCTGTTATTGCTCTCGGTCGAATTAGCGGAGTATTGAGCTACATCTGCGACTTGAAGAGAATCTATACATCTCTCACCTGAAGACAGCTTCAATGAAAAGAGCAGAACACGCACGAAAACGCAAACGGATCTTCAACTGAAAACTTTTGCTTGAAAGTTGCCCACATGTGTTCAGTTTCCTCTCCAGGCGGAAAGCTTACTGTCACATAAAAGATTGCAGAGCTTAGCTCCACTTGATGTCAGCATGACATCTTGCGACACGGCAAATATATAAGGGCATGAGAAGTATCTTATCCTGAGATAAGTATCTTCTTTGAGAAAGAGTTCTTTAGGAAGTACCTTTTCCTGAGAAAAGCATCTCCCTATGAAATGACGAATGCTCAAGTGGATACCTTCTTCTGAAAGAAGCATTCCGTGAAACACTCACTCAACTTCTTCCAACGGACCTTGTTGATTGATCCTTTGGTTGTACTGCCTCAATTGACGACCAACAAAAGGACTGTCGTCAGGATGAGGAATGCGGAGGTGAGGGTAGTACCATCTCTCCAAGCGCCAGTAATGGAGTTGGAAACGAAATGGAAATAACTCACCACTGCCAGTACGACTCCAGGATGCTGGGCCAGGACCAACGTCTTCGTCAGGAACGTCAACGTCTTCATCCTCGCCCAGGTCCGAACCTAGTCAGTTTTTGCCCTTGGCTTTGCCTTTGGACTTGTCCTTGGACTTGCCTTTGGACTTGCCCTTGTCGGCGTCCTTGCCTTTTCCTTTGGAGGACTTGCCTCCTTTGCCGTCTTCTTTGCCACCAGGAGGTTGTGCGGGTTCTTGAGGACGTTGAGAACCAGAAGCTTTAGCACCAGAAGCTGCCTCTCCCTGAGAAGAGCTTGCTCCCTGTGGTGCGGCTGCAGGACCAGTAGAACCAGAACCACGCGCCTTGTTCAGCTTCTGTCTCTCTTTTCTTCTGTCCGCGGCTTCCTTCATGGTGTCGGGATTGCGGTTGAGCGCTCTCATCCTGCCTCCAGAGTACTGGTTCGCGTGAACCTCGATGAGGAGCGGAGTGTGAGCGTCATAGTCCCGATCGTTGAGAAGGTACGCGGCGCTGGTGGAGTTTAACAGCCACTCAGAGACATGGATGTCGAACTCAGTCTTTGAAGACGGAAACTCCGCCCATTGATCGTCCGACATGCTGTGTCCCCATTCCATGACTGTAGCCATAACAGGATCCAAACCAGGAAAAGTATTCCAGTCTGGTTGCTTAGCTTCCTTGTATGGCATTCCCAGCGTGTCCTCATACTGTTTCAGAAGCCACATGGCGTTTGCTGACACATGTCTCGCACGAGGCGAACAGAAGTGTGGGCACTTTGGGCTTTCTGACCATGCCTCCAAGAAGTAGTCGAGAAGGCTTTGGTACATCCCGCCACGAATATCCATCGACTCCTGCTTTCTGCCGGTGGCCCGGTAGAGGGCCATGTTGGCGTCGCCACCGATGAGGTCGACTTGGTAGTGCAAGCAGTCGATGAACATGTTGCCCAACACTTCATGAGCCAACGCCACCTTGTCTGCCGCCGCGTCGTTGTGGAGGTGGAAGACACAAACTCTTAGCCGGTCGGATCCAGCTCGCTCCAAGACCTTGGTCAGTGACTCATCTGGAACATCACCACGACTGCCCTGGAGACCGGTCGGTAACGTCATGCCATACACGATTTCCGCG